AACATGTTAATACAGTGTTATAGTCATTGTGGCCTTTAGGAAAATGCTTTTAGAGAGGTCACCTCCTGATAAATGTTGTTTTGTAAATTTGAACCGCTCACTTTTACTCAACATTTTTATTTTGATTACTTACTTTAGGCATACTTTATATCAACAAAATAGTTTGGATATGCAAGTACAGTAAATGACAGATACTTTAACTTTTACTCAGATAATATTCTTAGAGGAGAAATGAACTTTTATTAAAGATATTTTATGTTAAGACACTTGTACTTTTGCTCAAGAATCACTTTGAGGAACTTTATACAGGACTGTTGAAATGTGAGTTTTATTTTGAGGCAGTCAGGTAGTCAGCTTCAGCTGAAGGTCGATAATGTCGTTTGTGCAGACATTTTATTTTCTAAGACAAAGTCCAGAGGGGACATTTAAATAAAAATAAAATAAAACTAAGACCAGAACTCTGTGTGACAAACACATCTTTTTATCTGAAGCTTTCCTGTTTGCATGAACACAGATTATATGATTTTATGGTTTAAGAAATTTTGTGTTTCTTACAGGATGTGGTTGAGCTGTTTAAGTGGACTATTTCCTACTTTAAAGATAACAAATATAAGTTGAACATTTATAAGAGATTAAGATAGTGCAGAAGTTTCCACTCCTTTTGGTACTTTGTGTTTTTGATCTAAAGATGAATTTAGGAGGACGTTAAGATGTTTAAATTTACAAAACAAAAATTACTTTAAAGATGAAGTTGAAAAGATTTAATGCTGTAAAAGTAAAATAAATTAGTCATATAGGACACTTTTTAATAAAAGGTTTTATGAGGACCGTTAAAAGTGTAACTACTTTTTCAGGCCCCTCAGGGGTATAAAGTGAAAACCCAACAGCAGCAGCTGGACTAATCCGGACCTTATCCCACAGATGTAACTTTATTAAATTCAGTTTACAGAAKAGAAAGTCAGAATGTGGATTCAGCTCAGGATGATTTGGAGAAATAAAAACTGAGAATTCCTGACATTTCTTTGTTTTACTGCTTTTATTAAAGCCTAAAATAATCCTCACATCTCTGTTGGTCCTGAACTGAAGCCTCCTGGTTCCACAGAGAAATCTAAAGTCAARGTCTGCTTGTGATCTGAGTGACGTCAGCTGACAGATGAAGAAGTTTGATTTCATCTGAAACTCTCTGAACCAGTGGCTTCTTCAGATGACATCAGATTAACTGTTGGAGGATTACAGCCGACTCTTCTTCGGTGTTAATCTGGATCCAGCCTGTTTGAGTTGTTTAGTGTTTGTTGTTTCACCACAGTCTGTGTGAGGAGGACAGGAAGTCAGACGCTGATAAACATGGAGGTTTCAGGTCGGCTTTGTGGTTCATGGATCAGAACTCAGACGCTCCTCACTTCCTGTAGCGTCTCCAGACATCAGCAGACTCCTGAGGTCTGCTCCGTCCATCTCTGCAGCTGAAACTACAAACAGGTGAAGAACAGCAGCAGGACGGAGACACAGGAAGATGCAGGCTTTGGATCCAGGTGAGCTCAGGTGTCCACAAACAATCTGTCCACATCAGAACCTGATGAAGACAAATACTTTGTCCCCTTAGTCTTTCCAAATGTGGAGCAGGTCTTTAGTTACACAAACAAGAACACAGAAAGGTGTCCTGGTCCAACTGTCCACAGGTGTCCTAAAACATCATAAAACTGCCAGGACATCCTCTGGACTGACCTAAACACTGCTGAACATCTGGAGGAGGAACCTTCAGACCTGAGGTGGACCAGGAAACCTGAGGACAGGTGCAGAGGTCTCAGAAGCTGATTTTAGTCTTTTTGCCCTTTTTCCACTAGTACCACTTAGTGTAGTGTCGGTACGGTTCCAAGCCATTTCCATTAGGCCAGATTCATGGAACCGGACCTTTTTTTAGTACCGACCAAGTGGTCCCAGTCGACACCAAAATGCGACATCAGAACACTGTTCGTCACTGATTGGCTAGGGGGTGGAGTCACTGGTTGCATCTGAGCTGCCTTTACAACAACAACTCGAGGAGCCATTTTGTCAACTGTAGCAGTGACATTAGTTGTGTTTCCATCCAACTTTAATTTGAACTTTTAGCGAATTTTAAAAATATCACAACTTATTCGGGAAATGTGTTTCCATCTCTCATTTTGCGCATTGACTTTTTTTTTTTTCGAAAAACCCAAAAATCACCTCCACCAACCGCCCAAAACACACCCACTGGAACCGGACTGGAACATCAATGGAAAAGCACACAAACCGACCAGTTCCAACGCTGACCCGTTCCGACGCCGACCCGTTCCAACACTGACCTGTATCAACACTGACCTGTATCAACGCTGACCTGTTCAAATGATGACTGTTCCGACGCTGACCCGTTCCGACGCCGACCCGTTCCGACACTGACCTGTTCCGATGCTGACCCGTTCTGATGCTGACCCGTATCGAAACTGACCTGTATCGACGCTGACCCGTTCCGACGCTGACCCATTCCGACGATGATGACCGTTCCGATGCTGACGTGTTCTGACGCTGACCCGTTCCGATGCCGACCCATATCAACGCTGACCCGTTCTGACGCCGACCTGTTCCGATAATGACCGTTCTGATGCTGAACCGTTCCTACGCCGACCCGTTCCGACACTGACCCGTTCCGACGATGACCCGTATCGATGCTGACCCATTCTGACGCTGACCTGTTCCGATAATGACGCATTCCGACACTGACCCGTATCAACGCTGACCCGTATCAACGCTGACCCGTTCCTACACCGACCCGTTCCGACGCCGACCCGTTCCGACGCCGACCCGTTCCAACGCCGACCCGTTCCAACGCCGACCCGTTCCAACGCCGACATGTTCCGACACTGACCGTTTCGACAATGAACTTTCAGATGCTGACCCTTTCCGACACTGAGAGTTTCCGATGCTGACCGTTACGACGTTGACCGTTCGTTCTGACACTGACCCGTCGACACTGACCCGTCGACACTGACCTGTCGACACTGACCCGTCGACACTGACCCGTCGACACTGACCCGTCGACACTGCACCAAGAGGCACTAGTGGAAAAGGTCAGTTTCAGCTGATTTCTGACCTTTGAGTGTTTTTTACTTGAATAAAAGTCTAAAACCAAACGTGTCTGTCCCTGTAGACGAGGAGACAACATGGAGGCTGACTGTCTCAGTCCTGCTCCTCTCGTCTCCTCCCTCACAGTTCAGAACCGTGCTGTGGGATGATGAGGATGATGATGGTGAAGAGGAGGAGGAGGAGGAGGAGGAGGATGTGTCTGCAGAGGTCCACTGTTGGTTTTGTCCCTCAGCATGCTGAGTGTGGTGTTGGAGAAGTCCCTCAGGATGTCCACGGTCTCCCTCTGCAGCAGCAGGGACTCCTGAACAAACTCCTGCTGGCTCTCCACCAGCAGCTGGACGGACTGGGCCAGGGTCTCCAGAGACCGGGACACCGAGGTCAGGAGCATCCGGCTGGCCCGCTGCTGCTGCACGCTCTGAGAGGCCAACTGGGCCACCTGCTCCTGAGACCTGCGCTGGGAACATCCAGGAGGGAGGGGGTCCGGGGGGCCGGAGGAGGAAGAGGAGGAGGCTGCAGGAGCAGAACCGTTGGTTGTAACTGAAGCTGAGGAGGAGGAGGGGGGGAGGGAGGAGGGGGTCACAGTGGGTGTCTGTGGAGGAGGAGGCGCAGCAGAGGAGGAGGGACCAGGACCAGGAGCAGGTTTGCTGGAGTTCTGGTGGGTTCTGGAGTACGTGTGAAGGGGCTTCAACCTCAGCAGGGAGTTGTCAGGAGGGGGGTCCAGGGAGGCGGAGGAKGGGGGCAGGGAGGGGAACACTGAGTCGTCGATTTCATCAAAATCCATCGTTTGTTCTGAGAAACAAGAGAAAATTTACTTTTATTATTTATTCATCTTTCATTTGAATAACTTGTATAAATATTTTTAAAATTATGAGATTTGAAACTGAATATTTGAACAAAAACCTGATAAATATCAAACTTTTAATGTTTTTAAATTCTAACTAATTAAATGATCTTTTAGGATCCAACTGCTGTGAACATTCTTGCGGACAATCTTACCTCCATCATCAGCCAGGTCAAAGTCAGAGGAGGAGTGAAGAGGATCACCTGCAAACCATCATCATCATCATCATCATCATCACCATCATCATCATCACCATCATCATCATCACCATCATCATCATCATCACCATCATCATCATCATCACCATCATCATCATCATCATCATCAAATCCTCCCTAAAAACGAGCATCTCTCAGCTGATCCAGGTCCACTCACCCAGTTCTTTCTCTGGAGAGGACAGAGGTGAAAGGTCAAAGAGATAACCTTCCTGGAAAGACGGCGAGCTCTCGTTAAGGTTCAGGTAGGAGTAGGGCGGGGCTTCTTTGAAGGACTTTGGAAAGTCCTCATCCTGACTCAGCTCCGGGTCACTGTCTCCATCTGAGGAACAACAAACCAACAATATGAAAGACTAATTATTTAAACTTTGTTTTGTTCTGTTGTTGCTGTCAATGTCAACTTTATTTATAAAGTGCTTTTAAAAACAGCTGATAGCTGCACCAAAGTGCTGCACAGCAATCCACAAAACCACAATAACTGCTAAAAACACATAATAAATTACAACCAACAATAGTAAGCAGGGGTCGACACAATCATTGTTGAGACAACCTATTTTTGTTTCAGAAACCAGATCCCGCCTCCCGGTTGTCTGGTGGACAACCAAGAAAAAAAGACCTCAATTAAAGTTTTCCTCCGCGGGTGTTCGTTACTGTAAAAATGAAYGTGAGRAAAAAAAACTTGTTAAAGCTGTCTAGGGCAGGAGTTCTTAACCTTTTTGACCTCCGGGCCCAATTTGTTGAACATAAAGTGACACGAGGCCCAGTCGGACATTACCAATGTATGGATCAAAATGATAATTATTCTAAATCTTGGTTTATTTTTTATTGTACTTACGTAACTAAACTATCATAACTAACATAACTAAATTAAATACATTTACAGTTTAAAAGTAAAACTCCTGTTAAATAATCACAAGACATGATTATGACAAACATTTTTATATTGTAACCTGCCCATAACTATTATTTGAACAAATACAAAAATCAGTCAACAGACCACTCAGGCTTACCAACACAATATATA